TTTTAAACCGTTAAACTGTTTTATTTAAATGTACATTATCTTTTTAATAATATGATGATAGGTAAAATACCCCAGCTATATAACGTCTTAACGTGATGCGCTGTCTATCTACTTCGGCATTGAATATTTAGAAATCCACTGACGGAATCCGTAACGCGGATAAACTTCAAAGTTTTTCATTTATAAATTTATTAGAAACAGGTTAAATACGGTGGGAATCGAATAGTAAGTAAATAAATAGCCATGCAATTAGTCCATATCAACTGTCCATATACTTGATGTACATGATCTATCTAGTACTAAACCCTCAGTAATTTTTTAATTAAGTCTTAGTTTTCTCTATTAAAGTTTATCCGGATCGTTATAAGAGCACAACTTTAACGTCGCAGTGCGTAAAGAACCCAATTATCGAGCCATCAATAAACGCAAAGGTTAATTTAGAATGAAATGTTTGAGTTACAACATCGCCGCTATGTTGTTGCCTATAGTATATAGTGCTTTCAGTTTTATTCAAATTCGTCGCATACACGAGAGAAATCCTTAATTCAGTGATTGGGGAGAAATATATCAAAAACTTATAACTCGTTTACATACCTAATTCAAATATTTAGCAGTAAAAATTACTTAAATAATAATACATTACGATAAAATTCAAAATTCATCAACATTCTTCGTTTCAGTACCAAGTGCCTGTAGTTAGTACACATTTAAATAAAACGGTTTTAATCGCTTATTCTCCATTTCCCCTTGGCTTGGTCCTCTATTGTTTCAGTTACAACTATAAAATATGAATTAGACAATTCAAAATGAGAATTGGAAAAGACAACGTGAACAGGTTTTGATGTAAAGCTTTATAGCCAACTTGGACGTATAAAATACACGATCACTGAAATACCTTCCCCAGTGGGACTCGCTTCGCTTATAGATTTATAAGTTCAAAGGAAGTCGGTTATTACAAATACCGACCATCCGTTTTGTAATCTACCGCGTCGTTAATAAAACCTATTTAAATTGTCATCATTACTCCTCCGGATTAACTATAAAAGATACCTCTAAGTTACGACGCTCATAAAAAGACATATTTCTTAATCCGTCAAACAACATTGGGAGACAAAAAAGAAACTTAATTTCGTCTAGAATAACACCGCGTGGGGAGTACGATGACCATGTCTTACTATAGAAATGGGTTAATGCGATTTATTTTATGACCCAAAATGTTTATACACATATATGCCGTTCCTATGAGTGAAAAAGGGGGAAATGTGATATGAATTTTATTTAAATACTGTCTATAGTTTACGCGAGTAGTACACATTTAAATAAAACACTTTAACGATTTAAAACGCGATATATTAGTTAAACTTATTTGAAAGTGATTTTTAACTTCGGCCCGACGTTTCGGATGCTTTGCAGCAGCCGTGGTCACGGGGAGACTAAAGATGGAGGATGTCTAATGTTAACTAATATATCGCGTTTTAAACCGTTAAAGTGTTTTATTTAAATGAATTTTATTTGTAAAAAAGAAAATTATGTTAGTACTGTCTGTAGTTTACGCGAGTAGTATCATTCAAATAAAACATTTTTAATGTTTAAACGCGAATGTATTTGTTAAACTTGTTTACAATTTATTTGAACTACATCAGAAACGTCAGCTCGTAGTAAAAATAAGTTTACCTGATATATTTCGCGTTTTAAACCGTTCAACGAGTTTTATTTAAATGTGTACTCTATATTTGGCATCTACATTAGGCAGCACTTAATAATGACTATTTATTAAAAACTTGTCATTTGTAAAAAATACTCCTTTCAATCTTGTATTTGTGTCAGAAAAATTAGTTACTTACACTTATCTAAACGATGAAGGAAAAAACGTTTTTAGTCTGTGTTAACGATCTAACACCTCGATAGCATGGTGTCTCTACACGAAATAATAGGGAGTAAATCAAAAGTGGAATCCGAGCACGGCTCACCCATTGCGGATGGCTTCCTAAAATTAAAACGTTGCTTTTTGTTAACCCCTCCCCTGCTTGCCCCGGCATGTCCCCTGCTCACCCTTCGAATTAGGGCTGCCATTTGCACCAATTTGTGAAAGAAATTAATGTTTTATTCCTTAATTATATTGATCTATAATAGAACGAAACTAAATATTACATATTAAAAGTAATTCAGTCTGCGAATTACAATACCCGAAGTATACAAAGATGAAAGTAAGTATGAAAGTGTAAGTTTGATTTGAATAAAATTTAATAGTATCAGACATCATTTTTGAGACCTCAGACATCTGTGTCGCTGCCTTTCTAATTGAAAATTATTAATAATTAAGCCTTAATTTTATGAATGTTGACAACCCTAGCGCAGCACCTCCCTCGAGGCTCACCGGCGGGATGATTTAAATTAATTATGTTTAGTTAATAGGCGAATATTAAGGGCTGCTTTGCGTTTATTTTACTTCGTTTTAAACGTTTTCACCTGAAGAAACTTTTATCCTTTTTATCCTTGATTGAGTTTTAACTTAATTTCAGGACGGTCACAGATATTTTCTACAATCTTTAAGTACTTAACTATACGTTTATATGCTTTAAAGAAGACTATCCACTCTAAGGATGTTTAAACCTTTTTAATCACTATTGACTGCTATATTGCATAAATCTAAAATGAAATACTGTCTGTAGTTTACGCGAGTATTACGCTTTTAAATGAAACACTTTAACGGTTTGAAGCGCGATATATATATATTATATATATATATATATATATATTATAATTTATATATATATTATAATTTATATATATATATATATTAAGCTAGTTTAAAAATTATCTTCATCTACGGTACGACGTTTCGAATGCTTTGCAGCGGTCGTGATCACGAGGGGATTGTGAAAAAAATGATTTGTAAACAAGTCTAACTAATATATTTCGCGTTTTAAACCGTTAAAGTGTTTTATTTAAAGTCAATTAAAGAGTTAATAAAAGGTGCATCAAGTTTCAACATCACTCTCGTTTTCACGAGCGCAATAAAAAATTCGAGGCTGTATTAAAATGAGCCAAAACAATAAAAGACTACTACAACTAGGGCGTGTTTTCTTTAGCTAATGAGTCGGCTAGCGTTTGATGCCGATTCGTGTCGCCGGCCGGCCACCTCACAATCCATCAAAATTTAATAGTTACGCCAGGCACGGAGTGGTAAAAACAGGGGCTCTGAATATTGATAATGCTTAACTAAGTATTTGTTTTTTTATAGGCGCTATATCGTACTTTAGTAGTTTATTTTTTGAAATATGTAACAAATAATCTACATTCAAGGGTGTTCAGTAAAAAGTTATAAAGAGATAGATTTTTCAGGAAAGAAACTTATTAAATACAAATAATGAAAATGTAAAATATATTTGATTCATATCAATTCAGGAAGAATTTAGGGCATTTGCTAAGTGGATAAGAGTTTGCAAAGCATAAAGTCTGTCTGTAGTTTACGGGTAACCACTTTTAACGGTTTAAAACCCGAAATGTATTAGTCGTTGTAGTGCAAAACGTTGGATTACTATAACTAAAACAAGTTATGTTTTAAACCGTTAAATGTGTCTTATTGAAATGTGAAAGTTGACAAAATTTAGACATGCCGATTTGTCTGGTGAGTATAGCAAATAAAAATATTTTTTTAGGGGCCCGAATACAGGGCCTTTAACATTAAGTGTTCGTCGTATAGTTCATTATTAATTTAAATGCCTCATCGACTCGTAATCAGATTTAAATTTGATGAGCTCCGGTGATTGATTTATTTAGGGTCAATTTATGGTCTTAACGACCCTATTAAGTGGCTACCTCACTTTATCTTTGGTATTTTAATGTTTATATCGATGTTCGACTGCTCCCTTCATCTAAGAAACCCAAACAATTTATATCAAGACGTTGGGAATGTTTTTAGGAACTGTTTGATAAAATATTTCATAGAATTGTAGACGACTCTTTTTATAACTGTTGTAAACATTTTATTTTTATTGTCCGTTTGTATATAGATTAACTACATATAAATGAAATTTAATAACCTAAAATTTGATGGCTATTCATATATTACGTTTTATAGTTTATTTTTATGTTAACCAAAAATGTATGTAACCTAGACAGTTTAAAAGGCTCTGAAGTCCATATAATGATGAAATTAGACAAAAAAGCGGGTATAACCGAAGTCAAACACTCGGTGGGGGTCAACAAAAAATCTTCACAACCCATCAAATTAATGGAGTTTAAAATCGTCCCTCATTTCAACCGTGTCATTTGTTGAAGTGTGTCTTAATTTAACGAGGCTCCTTAACAAGTATTAATATAGTTTTTAAAGGATATTTCGATATTATTAATTGCACTTAACGAGACCAACATAAAACAAATATAGGTAAATTTTTGTTAAGCAAATTCCCTTTAAATATAGAAATATCGATATTAATGTTAATGAGAGAAGTGATTTAATATTGATGGAAGAGTGAACAAAAGGGTAAAATTATAGAAAGTAAGTATAGACTGTAGTTTTATAAAACATGAAAATAAAGTAGAAAGAACTACTTACTACTACTTGATCTTTAATTTAATACTTTTTATAGATAGTATTGAAATCTTGGCGATATGGGGCATGGGGCGAACCGATTATTTTTGCTTATTACTATTTAATTCGTCTATAGACGGTCTTTTAAGCACGACACGTAGTTCAACCCATTATCTATAGTGCTTAAATTCGCGACTTTCCACTGACTATACTGTGCTTACAGACAGACAGAATGATTCATCTCTTTGTTTTGACTTCACGTGACCACGGCTGCTGCAAAGCATCCGAAACGTGGCGTTTTCGACCGTTAAAATTGCGTTTTTAACCGTTTTCTTTAAATGTGTACTACTCGCGTAAACTACAGACAGTGTATATGATTCATCTCGGTTGCATTTATATAATAACATTCATATCAAGTGAGTAATCAGACAAAAACAAAGCACTAACACTATTGTTAAGTTCTCTACAAAATAGTAATAGTAGCATAAAAGTCTATTAAATCCGGGGTTTTGTCGTCGTTAGCAACCCAGTGATAATTGACTCCCAAATTGGGAAGCAAACACGCGACCCTTGTTAGCTAAAGCGAGAGGGGGAAAAGAATATTTATCTTCTCATTATTCTATACGCATATACTCGTATGTTTTACGGCGTCCTTTGCTTAAGTAGTGGCACTAACGTTTTATTGTGATAGTAATAATATTACTAGATGATAGTAATGTATATATTAAAGAATAGATACATAATTTTGGTTTAAAATAATTTAAGCTATAAAATAATAGATTTTAAACGGTTTAAAACGCGTAATATATCAGTAGATTTTTTTAAGTGTCGTTTCGGAAGCTCTGCAGCAGCCATGGTCTGTCTGTGACTCCGATATTCGCGTTTAAGGCGTTAATAGTGATTGATGTGATGTGTAGGTACTGGTCGATGCGATAACGAGATTTAAGATCAATAACACAATACTAAGCATATTATATCTAGTTCACGCGACTGGACAAATTAAATGCAAATTATCTTAGTGTCTTTTCTATGACCAGTAGGATTCTAAAAAGTATACTACTGTATTTCATATCAAGTGAAATCAAAAAGAGAATATAGCGTTTTGTAAAAAAACCGTTGAATTTTAAAATATGGTTTAATAAAACTAAACTGAAATGTTTCAATTATTATTAGTTAGCGAGAAAGCCAAATAATTAATATAAAACGAATTCTGAAACATCTCAATGCCATAAAAGCTGTGGATATAGTTTAAATGTTTATAGTATCCTAAAATTGTAGTAGAATATAGATTATAATAGGCGGTAGCACAGTAGTCTGTAATTAGTGCCGCCAGATGTGCGACATCGCGGGGGACTAGCTGCCACCTTGGTGATTGTATAATTATCTTTTGAGAGTTTTGTGCCCCAAGTTATGAACGCATAGCGTTTTCCATTTGCATTTTTTACCATCTTTGTTTATGGTAAGCTAGCAACAACACTGTATAAAACATTTATCAATAATAACCAAAGTCATTTCAAGCTTTATAATTTACCAAATTGTACATATTTAGTTACAAAGTCTAAAACAAAAAAGAAATCTAGTTGAAAACCCGACGTATTGTTTGATTATGAACTCCCTTCCCGTAACGAAAGTTCACGTTCTTTAATATAGTCATAATAATAGTAATATTAAGTAATTAGTAAGTTTCCCACTTTTTGCACGCTGTATAGTTTATAATTAATCGTTACGTCTCTTTCTACTTGGCTTGCCTGGAAGAGATCGCTCATAGCGATAAGGCCGGCCGGTACCCTATAGTTTTAAATTGCATAGTATCTGTAAGTTCTGTTTGGTATACCTAAGTGTGAAATAAATAAATAAATAATCATAAATAGTGTATTATTTACAACAGAATGATAATTTTTATAACGTGAAACAGTTATAAACATGATCTAAAATAGTTTAAAGTTTTTAAGATATTATTGAACGATATTAGTGTTTGGATCTTAATAAACACAATTATACCTAGCAATAAATAAATTTCAAATACGAATCAAACGCACTACTTTGCCTCAGCAGTTCGTTAATTTCAGTTAGTTTAATTCGCGTGGGCATTTTTTAAAGAAATGCATTGCAATCCGCGACCTCTCATGCCTTGCAGCTGCACCGCATACTTCACAAGCGAGCGTTTAATTTCGTTAGATTTCCGAGAAAGGCCGAACGAGGTGACGAGCCATTAAGCAATTAGTGCGACTGTGTTTACGTCGCTATTGATAGATATGCTCATTATCAACGCGCCGCGGACGCTCGCCACCGCTTTATTTATAATTCATTTACTTAATTGTCTCCAAGAGTGACACGACGCGACTAATACTTCTTTATATTAAAAGACAACCACAGATACTTAAACAGAATAAAGATATTAAGACTGTGACATCTTTTTTTTATAGAGGTGGGCAGGCATATAATATCTAACCCTAGCTATATAATATCTAAACATACTGCGCTATCAACCCATTTTGTGTATAGATATTTGGAAATCCACAGACCAAAATCGAAACGCAACTTCACGGCTTTTTATCTGAGGACAGTATTTCGTACTCCGGACGGAATGTTGATATTCCTACCATCTATTCCATATTGAGATTTCCAAACATAGTCCGAAAAGTTTCACACAAATTATAAAATGACGAAATTAGAAACATACTTACTGTCCATAGTTTACGCGAGTTGTACAAGTTTAAATAAAACTATTTAACGGGTTTAAATGCGATATATATAGTTACACTTATTTAACGTTTCCGATATTGCTACCATATATTTAATACCGAAATTTACAGACAAAGTCCAAGATGTTTCAGAATACAATGATTAGGAACATGTTAGAATAGTGTGAAAAAAGTGTGTAATGGAAGTAGGTATAGTGTATTTATCTCTGTAGGTGTGGTGATAAAATATTGATAATTATAATCTTTCATTTGTACAAGCCGTTCTTTAAATAAATTCTACTTGGGGCCTGAGTAGACATATTTTTATCAGTTTCGTTCGTAAATAATTAACCTATTTATGCTACTAGTTTCCTTGTCGTAAATATTGATCTAAGACGCAATAGCGAGAAATTTTAAAAATAAATTGGCCATTAGTTAGTTACCTACCTCTTTATTGAACATAAATCAAGTTTAACAATAGCTTAGTTACTTCAGTATGTCTCTCACCTCGTCATTATTTTAGACCTTATTATCATTAATAATAAGGTCTAAACTACTTTTTGACTTAACTGCCAAAAAGTCATGGAGAAAAGTATAGACTATCAGATGGAATCGAAAATTTAAAAATGAGAAATGAAACAAAGCTAGACAGCATATCGTAAGAAAAATCACATGGAGATGGGCAGGACACACATAAGGGAAAGAAACGTGGAGTAAAGTGATTATGAATTGGTATCCAAAATACAGAAAAAGAAACAGAGGAAGGCAATTCAAAAGATGGGAAGACGATATTACAGTTCTAGCAGGAACTATGGGGACGAGAATTGCAACGCTAGGAGACGAGGGGAAGAAGTTGGAAGAGGCTATAAAGAGGCAAACGGATACACCGGTTGTTGTTTAACGAAACATTACTATTGTAATACTATCCGAAATAAAGGCTTATATTGTTTTTTTAACTTACCGGCTGGATATTGTACGAATAGCCACCCCGAAAAATAAAAACACTACATACCTGAGTTTCAGTAACGTTGAGTAATTTCGCCATATCAGCTCTTTCTCCAGACGACAGGTACTTCTTGACTTCGAACAGTTTCTCCAGCTCAAAAATCTGCCTCCCAGTGAAGGTAGTCCTGGCCTTCTTCCGCCTAGCTGCACCTGGATCCTCTCCTTCCTCGCTGGTCATTGACCCTTCCCCGCCGAGAGGAGAACGCACATCATCGGTGGATTTCTTGCGCTTAATTAATTTCGTTTCTGGAAAGAGGAAATTTTTAACGCATTAGTACTCAACATAATTAGTGCATACCTCTAAGTTGTTCCTTGATTTAGCAAATATGTTTAAGAAGAAATAATATAAACCTACTGTAAAATTTAAGATTTTAAAGCAATCAAAAAACGTGTTTAACATCCGATATATATCGCGTTTTAGACCGTCAAATTGTTTTATTTTTAATGTGTTCTTGTCGCGTAATGTATATTTACAGTATTTAATCCGATTTATAATCCAAGAAGAATTACGTATTCTTTTTCTAGATATGTTTTTTTTAATGGTCAAACGAAGACTTTGTTTGTATTTTTAATGTGTATGTACATATTATAATAGTAATCTAGTATAAAAAATAATAATAAAATAGTAATAGATTTTAGTATAAAAAAAAACAAATGTCGCACTCCCAAAAAGCCAAAGTAGGCTAAGTAAAACAGTATTTAAGATCTTTAGCGTCAAAATATGTAGAATATTCTGGTCAAATATGAATTGGCAAATCGAATGACACGGTAAACATGCCGGTTTATTTACTACCCTCCAAGATAGAATCACACAAACGTCCATAAACAAACGCTGGGTGTTTCATTGGGACAAATGTGGCTATTACTTTCTTTTTCACTAAAAAGGGACAAAGTACATAGCACCAAAATTCAGCTCAGATAGCCGTTTCTGTCATTAAAAATAGCAGTCTCAAGAGAAAGTAAAAATAGACAATTTCATTAGAATCGAAACTGTTTTGACGTTTAGCATTTGGCGCAGCAGTTTATTAGCAGCAAATATAAATGCAGCGGCTAATGTTTCCTCTTAGTGCCACTAAATCAGCTGCTATATTGCACCGCGTTTATAATTTAGGCTCGTTATCGCCGATTATTGGCCACTTCTCTCATTAAGATTCTAATATATTCGACAAATGCTCCACTATAATTATTATGCAATAATTCATGTCATGAGTGTGTAAATCTTAATAAAAGAGTAGAGAAACAAGAAATTGATTACACAGGCGGGATAAGAACTCGCTACAAACAGGATACCGTGCTCTACCAATTAACGAAGTTTAAAATTCCTTAATCTCTATAAACACGCAGATTATATGCTGTCATGTGTTTAACATGTGACAATCACAATGGATTCAAAACACTTGGAAAAACTTGGACGGATCGTGACTCGGCTCGAACGTTCGAAATTCAAACTATTGAATATAATGTATAGTGTAACTCTATTTCTTATCGCGAAATCGTTCACCAAACACAAGTAAAACAATGTCGCGCTTAAAACAGACGGAATGGACACCTATAAAGAGGCGATAAATTGCGCCATAAGTTGCGAGCGACATCAATCGCCCTTTCGCTACAGGCGACAATTAAAATTTTTGGCTCCTCTACAAATATGCCTACGGCCCTCTTAGCCTTTAATATATTGAGTACCGATATAGCTTAACAGCACTCATTCATGCCGTCTGCATCAATGTACCTTATCTGTGGAAATCGTTATCGATAATTACGATTATACCGAAATAATTATATCTAATGATTAATTATTTTTTAATCTGGCGATCGAGACAGGAAGATGTTATTAGAATTCGATTAAGTACTTAGCTGATTATTAATTAGGTTCCAATCGGACTAATTTAATTAATAATGTAAAGTAAGAAAGCCACAATTTAGCTAAAACAAATATATAAGGATTGTTCTTTGTACATTTTTGTAATTGACAACTTCTTCGCCTCTCAAGCGGAAATGTGTTACTTTAACTATTCACCGAGAAAAAAATTAAACTACATATTTTATATAAACCACTTTAACGGTTTAAAATTCAATATTTATTAGTTAAACTTATTTTACCTACGGGCGTCGTTTGGGATGCTTTGCAGCCCTGGGCACGCGCTACTAATACATAAATATCAGGTCTTAAACCGTCACAAGTGTTTTATTTAAATGTGTACTACTCGACCGATTTTTTAGATTAAAAAAAAAATTCGTACCGCGCTCTCGCTCCAACCATAAGCCATATTTTCTGCCCCAGAACATTACAAAGTTAATATTTCAACGTTCTTCATAGAGGAGTATGCGATAAAAACTCAGATATACCAGGAAAAATGAACAGATTATTCTCATTGTTAAAATATCTTATTACTCCAACGACTATGTAAATGATCATACCTACTAAACAATACGAATAGATATGTTACGTGAGAAAGTGTTGCTACCGTACGGCGTTACATTGTAACGGGTAGGCAATATTCATAAGCGACGCGTGTTATACAAAATTAATATTGCTACAATCATTTTAACATGTCCAGAAAATTGGATATAATATCTGTAATTTTGGGTTTGATTTGGATTGATTCGTCTAAGCACGACTACATGTTTAACGATGCCAATATTATCTTGTTTAGTAAAAATGACAGTCTCCAGTGGATCCACGAGGCCAGCGAAAACCAAGGAAACTAAACAGTTATATTAAAATTCTAACTATTATGTAAAAAAGATAATAATTATAACGAAAATGTTATTATTAGCTATACGTATTTTAATTGAGAATTCTAAAATGATCTTTTACAGTAGTAGTCACGAAAAAAATATCATTGATTATATTAATTAAGATAGACATTTAGATACGTAGGAAAATGAATGTTCAAAACTTCTATGAAGCGAGCTTTTCACGAACTATCTATGGATTTCATAAGGGCACTCGTAAAATATTCGCTCCGCTCACGAATGTGTCCCAAGTTCCACTGATTACGATATAATAAATGCTTGTTCGAGAATCACACGCCGTTGTGCCTAGATATTAATTACATTTCGTGGAATTATGAGACGCTTCACGTATTCTCGATTAATTTGTATTGTCACGCTTCTATCATAGTTTTAACGTAACGGAATACGGGAATCTTAACTGAGTTAGATTTAAATTATTAAAGAAAATTGGATAATTCTTGGTTTCATTTATTTTTATCACGGATGGTAGTTGGTGGTTTGCGTCCCGACCGTATAATAAAACAGAACCAGAAATGTTACAGCTATGTTGGCTCCTGCAATGCATTAAAGACTTCGGGTTGTACATATAAACTAACGAGTATATTTCACGTTTTAAAACCGTCAAATGCGTTTCGATAAAAAAGCGTTGAAATACTAAATTTACCTAAACTTATACATTAAATTACACAATCAATAAAATACTTATCATTTGTAATTTAATAAATTCATAATTCGCGTATTGATAACATAACTATCAATCAATTCTCGTTATTGTAGGTTATAAAAGACGACAGGAAACTCGAAAGCTCATAACGAGAGAAGAGCCTTTACGACGCGTTCGATAGAAACAAAGATAACACATTAAACGTTTACTCCGACACTAGCAAATTAAAAGTTTACGATACTGTCAATAAAACGGTGGCGGTTGGCGGAGGAAAAATAAATTAGCCCGAGATTAGGAGATCGGGAACAGCTGGGTGCGTAACGCAAGTTTGGGTAAACAGTGGGTGTGGGTCCCATATGACATTAGCGATATTAGTGCGAAGCGATTACTTCCGAGAACGAGCATAACTATTAGCTTTAGTACACAATTGTAAGTTACTTCAGACCCAATGCAGGTAAGAAAGGAACAGACTTAGGAATCCATATTTTTATGGAATAAACAATAGTGTTAGTGGTATTCAGTTTAAGTAGAACACTTTTAACGGTTTAAAACGCAATACTTCGAAAGATATCCTATACTGGTTGCAGTTGAAAACTAATATATTTCGCTTTTTGAACTCTTAAAACCGTTTCAAATAAATTCTACCACTTGCGTAAACTAGATACAATACCACAGTTATTAAGAAGCTGTATTTTTTTTAATTTGATTTCTTTGATATTCGTAAACAAACGGTATGCACTTATAGGCAGGTAATTTTATAAAATAATTATGGACGAATTCAGTGTGCTGTAGGCGCATTACGCACTTTACACGTGTCAATTATTTTGTTCAATCATTAAGACTCCTTATAACGCGTAGGTATCAGATATCATGCGTCAACTGATCTACGGTTCTGTTGGCGCCTTTTGTATCATTTGTTTGTTTTGTCACTCACGGAAACAGAGAAACGTCAAGTTGTAATATATGAGGCATGGGCCAAATACAGTTTTGTGTCTTTTTCACTATTTTAACTAAATATAACTTATCATGTTATATATAGTTAAATTCGTAACTTACTATATCTGTTATTTGTAGTTTAAGCGGGTAATACACATTTATATTCCTTTCGTTTAATTGGCAGCAGTTAAGTTAATTATCTGATTTAGTATATGTTGTATGCTTGTATTATATTATACGTGAATTACTTTAGTAAATAGAAACTTATGTAGTATTTTTACTTTGGAAAATACCTGGAACGACTATTTTCCAAAGCGATTAACCACCGTTGCACAATTAGCGTCTAAATAACAATCAATCAAGTGTTGTGTAAACGCAAAACATCGTTACTTCACATCGACAATGCGTTAAACATTTGACATCAAAGCGGAACGAACACTCACAATTTATAGCACTATTAACTCGCGGTCGAAAAGAAAATAATTGAGCGATGTTATTATTGGAATTAATTTTATGGGACGCGGCCATCGTCGCTACAGTTGATGTGCCTAATTCGATTATGTTTTTTAAGAAATTTAATAAAGTCCTCATTAATTTCAAATTAGTAGGTTCTTTGATGTGTCGCCAACATTTTTTCTAATAATTCCTATTTTTATCAGTATACTAGGTGATCTGGGAAACAATATTTTTCCATATGAAGTATTGCGACCAAATTTAAAATTCAAATAATAATAATAATAAAACAGTAACGGTTTAAAAAGTGATATATATTAGTTAAACTTATTTGAAAAAAAATTACTGCGGCCCGACGTTTTTAACCGTTAAAGTATTTATTTAAATGTGTACTCGAATAAACTACAGACTGTATTAAATTATTTTATACATATTTTTGGGGACAGTCGCAGCTTCA